ACCACATTTTTGTTACAATAAGGATAAATCAGCATTTTTATTAATTTCATACAGTTCTTAACAACAATAACGACTGGCCTACGTGGGCGTATCATGATTCGATAAAACTAAAATATTGTTGAGTCAAATTATGTCAAACGAAGATATTTCGAAAATTCATTTGACGTAAAAGAAAAACTTCATTCCATGCCTTTTTAAAAAAAAAGTTCAAATCAAACTATAAAGAAAAGGAAAATAATGTGCTACATCTTAAGTTCGCATTTCTCGATATTTTAATATTGTATTCACCCCATGTTCGTGTATTTAATTTTCTGATCATTGTTGACTTTAAGTTTTAAATATACGATTTGTTTATAATTTTATAGAACATGAATGAACCTTCAATAAAACGTACTTGAGACCATAAAATGTCAGACAAGTGTTTACATTGAAATGTACAACCCAGTTTAATCGTCTTAGGATAAAAAAAACTGCACATAAACTTATTTGTAAAATGAAGGTGAGACGTGGAGGGGAGACTTGCATTAAGTCTTTTGATAATTTACATATTTTGAAAGTTACAAAATCACTTTACATTACAGACGTGTAGATTCAATATTCAAAATATGAAAATTTCATTACAAATAAAGTATATTAAAATCTACATGATACATAAGTTCTAAAAATCACACTGCTACAACAATATCTAAACAAATATTGCAAAAATTAAAATTGGAATTAAAACAGACTTATTTTGTTTTCAAATATCGATTTATCATAACTTTTCCAAAGAGAAAATGATTTGAGGATCAACATTAAGAAAGCAGAGTGCTGAATAAGCTTGTACGAAATACAACTTTGAAATTAAACGAAAAGATGAATTCTGAATTTGGTACGGTTTATGTATACTAGTATAGTATTTGAATAATTTGGTTACAATTTAAAGACAGACTGCTTAATATACATATCTGTAGAATGTATTGGTTTCTTATAGACAAATAATACCATACTGCGGAGATTTGTTTTTATTTTCTTGCATTTTCAGTTTTTTGCATGCGCACAATTTAATTTCAACGATCGACTGATGGAGATTTTAGTTCTTTGCAATACCCGCAAAATCATTAAATAGAATATAATTGATATTTATATTACAAATGAAAACTTGATGTTATATTTTTTGACAATCGATTGTTATTGTACACAATTACATTAGCTAATTCGATTTCAGAAACTTCTAGATGCTGAAATCGATTTAGCAAATCTCAGGAATATAGCACCAGAAAAAAATAGAACAAATTTTAATTCTTCCCCTACCTTCTTCGTCTTCCATGGCTGCCACTTGTAAGCAGACGACAGTTTCTATAGTGTCAAGAGGAATGCCCTCCTACGTATCTTCTGTAATGTACATTTCCCGTATCACACCCTGTTTATTCAGTCCATATAGTAGATTTATAGTATTACCAAAAACGGAATTGACATGTAGGTAGACGTTTTCAAATCTCTATTGATTATGTCTAGTCTAAATATAGAAAGTCCACAATATATTTATTCTAACCTTTCCCGTCCGATTTGATGAATAACGCTGATGTATAAATGAAAGCATAAACCATTGGATTTTTTTTATTTTTAAAGGTTAAAACATGCTGCGTCCAATTTGAATTTTGAATGCAACTATAATAGCATTTAAGTTTGTCCGCAGTGTGTAAAATATATTCAAATTGTTCATCATTTTTTCAAGTAGATTTAAACTGTATAATGTAACATCTGATCTCTTTGATCGTTTACAGTAGTATGATAAGTGTATTAATGTAAGTGGTCAACCATTTCTCTTATACAAAATCCATATCTGAATTATGCACCACTGAAAATTGCTCTTTCCATGGAAAACATGAATATCTCAAGTAGCATAACAAAATGGAATATGCTTGAAGTATTTATGATCGATTGAGGAAAAAAAACGTATGGCCATACAATCCAACGGTCCAACAGTGTTGGATAGTAGGGGCATACGTTTTTTTTTTAAATGCACGTAGACGATTAACGGGCTATATTTCTGACCTGTAGTCAAGTCCTTCTGTGAAGAAGGACTAATGTTCCATCCTCAAATTGCAAAGAAATTTTCATCTTTTTCTCGAACAAAATAGATTTTGTTCAAACAAGCTTAACACCTGATACAATAGTAAATGTATTGAATTGATTTGGTGAAAATCAGTGCTAACAAGGTCAGGCAATAGACAAGGGGAAGTACCCTGTCCTGGAGGGGTGTTGGGCTATAAGATGCAATATTTTAGAACACGGAGCATTTGAACAGACATAAAGGAGATTGCTTCTATTACTAAGTATGTTTCATGACAATTAAAAATGGTAGATAAAACGAGATGGGGTTGGAAAAATGTACTTGGGGACAGGAAAATTATTTTAGCCCTCCCCCTTTTTTCCAAAATCCGTAATTTTTTTTTCTGTTAATTTCAATTGAATTCGCGTTTTTCTGTGTTATATTAGCATAAATATACAAGAAAAATATGTATTTGCTATACATACTATTAATTCCCAGTTTACTATCCATAGCGTCACTGATTATAATGTCACTATGGAAAATGGTACAGGTCAATTTCCCGTGATTTTTTTTTATACCAGGGCACTTTTCAAAAATTCTTTCAATTTTGACTAAATTTCACCAAAAAAATCACATTATAGCAGCTTCATATTCTCTAAAGATAGCTCCAAACCTCAATTTGTATACCTGTTTGTATACATTTTAAATAGTTATCCAAAAAAGTATTATAAAGTGACAATCTGTACGGAGATTTTTGGAAAACTGCGATATCAAATAACAACGAAAATGTAATCTTCCCTTCATCAATCCACGAATATGGTAACCACGAAAATGAATGAATCCAAGGTGTTCCGAAAAGAACGTTTCCTCCTTGTTCAGATAATGATATAAAGTTTTTAAAAAATGATAGTTTAGAAACACGAGGGATGATTATGATTAGGGTTGCTATCTCGTGGACGCCGGTATACCCAGTATTTCATTTTATTAATCTCGCGGCTATTGGTTTGTGCAATGTACGTAGTCAAACGATTTGAAATTACTGATGCAACTTATAATGATTAATACGATAGTCCAACCATGCAGAACGTACATATTGTATGCATTGTTAAAACTTCCTCATCCTGAATATATGCATGAAAGTCTTGCCACTGGACGTTTAGAAATAGAATAGCAAAAATACAACTCTTAAATTGGTCTTGATTGTAAGTGTTCAGTCTGTATGTATATATCAGCGAGTTTCACAAAAATGACACTCCATTAGTTACCGATTGTGTCTTTTTTACAGCAACACTGAGCATTCACTATTATCAGTGGCGAACCCATGGTAAAAAAAAATGGGACGTAATTGTCCAAAATAGTAAAAATTACCGCCGATGCAATTTTTAACAATTTTAATCCTCTACGCCTCCATATGATAAATTAGCCACCACTGATATTTATTTCTATCAAAGGGGGTGTACGCTCTCTACGCACTCCATGAACTAGCATGTTATTAACGACGACCACCGATTTAGTAAATGGTCGTAAATGACATGAATGGCTTGGAAGATGATGCGCCTTAAAATTTTATGAATGGTGTTGAATCCGGATTGTACAACTTTTTTTCAGAGTAAGGTGTTGGTGGTGTGTTGTCTGTTGTACTATCCAATATTTTTTGTTACTATCTTTTATCCATTTGATGTCTTATGCAGATGCGGATATAAGGGGGGGGACAGGGACCAGATGGGCAGCTAGGGCACCCCTCATGGAGCTTCTTATATAGCTTATACGTAGAATTTTTACATTTTCTACTCGTAACTTTTCCTAGTTTTGGGGCCCCGCGCCCCACCTTTTTTTCAAAATCATGAATCCGCATCTGATATGTTACGTTGAAAACGAACATGTTTATGTATACATTCTGCAAACAAAATTAAAAAAAAAAACACAAAAGATGCGCCTTGCAATTAGTACAGATAAGGCAGAGGTGACTCCACCTAGGTAACTTTGCAAATCATCATCTTTAGTCGGTTGACCCATCTGCTCATCGGCATTGTCACATAATTATTATCATGATTGCATTTATAGTTACTAAGGGACGAACATTTGATATTTTTTTGGAAAAGGGGGGGGGGGGGGGGGGGGGGGATTTTGAAAATAAAGAAGTTGGTCTGGAAAAAAATGAAAATAAATAACTCTGACCAAGACAGGAAGAAAATTAATATTCTGCAACACAAAATGCAGGAAACAAACAAATGTGTACAAGTGAAAAAAAAGAATGCATATCTGTATCATCCAACAGATGAAAATAACTGTTCAGTCCAGTAAAAATCCTCCTACCCACCCCCCCCCCAAAAAAAATCAATTGGGCGTCCCCTAAAAGACACCCAAACATACGTTTACACGAGTTTTTAGCACTGAAAAAAAAAACATACAAAAGGAAAGTCTTGTAAATGGTTGATATGGATGAAGGGATCATGGCGAGGATTTTATGAATGCCCGAGGTACTGCCGAAAATTAAGGGTATATTACATAGGAAAACTTTAGCCCTGCAACAGTCCATTGACGGACCCCTCACTGAAAAAGTTGCTGTAATGGTTCTTTTTAAAGGGGGCATGGAGGTAGTCCTCCAGATTTCCCGCAAAAAATTAACACTGAATCCCGGATTCGCGCTAAAAATAAACAGTGCATCCCGAATTCCCGAAAATGAAATCATCCATTCCCATGATTCCCCAGTCCCGAAAAGTGCATGTAAATACAAATTAATCGGAATGACTATATATATATAGTCAAAACTCTCCATTAACGTTGTCTGAGTTGGCATTATATAAGGTCTAAGTTGACTTTATAGACGGTCCTAGTTGACTCATTGACAGTACGAATTGACTTATTGACTGTCCGACTTGTCTTCAATCATAGACTGTTTGCAGTCGGTCCGAAATTGTAATCGCGCCGAGTTGTCTTACAAACAAGAGTTATCGTCCCTGGAGGTCAGCAGACGACAACAACAATGGCGGATGGCGATAAGGTTTAAAAAATAGTTATTTTATAATCCTCGCATGAAGATATTCTTATGTTTGAAATAACTATTTATGTAGAAAAATGAAAAGACCTTTTATGATTATTAGCTGTGAGAAAAATAGCCGATCATCTTGTGGTAAATCACCACGAAAATTATACATACATGACATAATAAACAATTTTTCTTATCAGTCCACGGTCCATCAGTGTCATTTCATAACACAAGTGACGTGACTTCTCCACAAGTCAGATATCAAGCGCCAAAGAAAAAAACTAACATGCAACTTCACAGAAAAATAAAAATAATGATTTTTACCATATGTAATTTCATCCTCTTTGTAAAATTAAAGAGATGTGGTATGAATGCCAATGAGACAAATATCTACCAAAGTTCAATTAAATGGGATGTCAACAATTACAGGCAGCTGTACTGCCTTCAACGATGAGAAAAACCATACCGTATAATCATGATAATAGGCTATAAAAGGCCCTGACATGAAAGATATGAAACTATTCAATTGAGAAAACTAACCTAATTTATATTATTATAACAAAATAATTTATGAAAAACAAACATAACGGACATGAACCAACAACAACCACTGAAATACATGCTCCTCACTTGGGCAGTCTTCATGCTTAACCACTGTGCACAGGCCCAGCAGTCCAGGCTTGTAAAATTGCTTTCGGGCCTGTAAAAATCATCTCTTCGTGCCAACAGAATCTAACTAAAAATTTCCAAAAATTGAGCTCCAGGCCTGTAGATTTAAAAGTTTATCGTGGAGACTTCTTGGGACAGGCTATTAGTGGCATAAAACACAAAGAAAGAAACTGGAAAGGTGTATGAAAAATATTTTCAAGTAAATACACTATCAGTCATTTGTCAGTATCAACACTAGGGACTAACTTTACGACAAAAGAGATGATTTCAGCTTCCCAATTGTGAACTTTCCATTTCTATGTAGCAACATTACAGCAGCACCTGCATTCTGAGTATATATCTCCCAATTGATACGATATTCCCAGGCTTGTATTTCCTATTATGATTTCCTTGTTAGAGGGTTGCTGCTCACAAGAAAGCTATCAAACCAAGAGTTCAAAATGGTGAAGTTGAAATCATCCCTTCGTAAATTTAATGGATGCCATCACGAGTTGGTTGACCGTTATGGAATATCCGTTTCGCAGATGATAGCGGGTATGTTCCTAATGTCGTAACTACAATCCTGTTCCCTTTTCACAAATGTGACCTACCGAATTAGACTATTTACCGGGTTTGTTCTAACATGAGCAACACGATGTGTGCCACATGTGGAGCAGGATCTGCTTACCCTTCTGGGGCACCTGAGATCACCCCCAGTTTTTGGTGGGGTTCGTGTTGCTTCTACCGTTAAAAGGCTTGTATAGTCCACGGTTTTATTCTCCAAAATTGACCCTGACAGCAGGGGTGCGGACTATAGAGTACAATAGGCAAGAAATAAGAGAGAAAATTTCAATTTCGCGATGTGGTTTGTTTACGTTCCGCCATGTTTGTTATTGACATTGTAGCGGGCGCTCTTATCATTTTTTAAACCAATAATTTTACCCAATCCATATTAATAAGATATTTTTATTCAATATCAAATAAATCCTGATAAATTTTAAAATTAAATGCTTCAATACAAAATTCTCGTTTCTTTTCAATGCATTGCTAAATATAAACTGGTATCTGCTTTAATGAAATCGTACAAATTTTTTTTAAAAAAGACAACCGTAAACCAGCTTACAATGTGTAAACTACAAAACGTAATCGGTTATTATTCGTTCCGTTTTGGTGTTTCCTATTGACAAATATATGTTTTCTATTAGCTTAAAACCCTTCAAATATTAATGTGATAGATATATTAAACAGTGTTTTACATAAAGAGGGAACTGTTTTACTTTCAAAGTCGTATTATAGTGATATCTATTATGTACGGATTTCGACTCTCACCGGGTTTTTTCCTCTTTTACACGTGCATTTCAAACTTCCGGTTTAAACATACACAAGTTTCTAAATTGTTTTTTGTGTGATTTAGACTTATTTTAACCATCTTGAAGTGTTTTAGAACCATTTACAAGCAGTTTCAGCTTCTGTTTGGTGATGGAAAATAGTTTTTTTCCAAAAAAATAATGAAACGACTACACAAGATTTAAAATTTGCCAGAGTTTCATTAGACCTTTTCTAACAGTTACAAAAAGTTTTTTTACCTGAAATTTCGTGGGAGAAGGGGGTGCGGACTATGTACCAGTGCGAACTATACAAGCCCGATTATGGTAGTCTTTAGTTTTCTATGTTGTGTTTTGTGTACTATTGTTTGTCTGTTTGTCTTTTTCTTTCTTTAGCCATGGCGTTGTCAGTTTATTTTCAATTTATGAGTTTGAATGTCCCTCTGGCAGTCAGGGGTACTACTTGTACAAGTAATCTTTATTTACTTGAAGAAGTAAATGATAATCAATGATAATATACTTATATAAGTAAATTTTGTTTTGTTTATAATGTTTGAAAAATCTCCCCTTAATTTCTTAAAAATTTACTTGTATCAAGTTTTGAGATGTAAAAACATGCCTTTAACAATTTTTCACAGGTTAGCTCATAATTTTTTATTAGAGTTCAATGTTTCATCTCATTTATTCAACCCAGAAACTAAGTGGGCAGAGATCTTAAGTAATTGGGCAAGGCCTTCAAAAATTGTCCCTTGGGGGCTTGTAAATGAGCAGTGTTCTGAAGATAACAGACAAATCAGATTTTCATTGTCCATGAAATTACACTTAAATTATTAGTAAAGACATCTGCAAAGGACAGACAATTAAAAATTCTATTAGAGCAAAGAAGTCCTGAGAAATTCAAGAAAAGAATACAGTATGACTTTTTTACTTGTATAAGTAAAAAAATCTGAATGTCTAAGGGACATAACTAAGCCAATAAAATAATTTACCTATACAAGTAAATAAAATACACTTTTATAGGTATCTTACAAATTTACTTATATAAGTATATTAATATTTACTCCTTCATGTAAATAAAAATTACTTGTACAAGTAGTACCCCTGACTGTCTGGTATCTTTCGTCCCTCTTTTGTAGACAACAAAAATCTAAAAGAGATAATTGTATCATCGGGACAGGCACATAGTTAAAACGTTTAAACCCGCTGCATATGTTTGCACCTGTCCTCAGTCAGGAACCTGATGTTCAGTGGTTGTCGTTTGTTGATGTGGTTCTTAAGTGTTTCTTGTTTCTCGTTTTTTATATAGATTAGACCGTTGGTTTTCCTGTTTGAATGGTTTTACACTAGTCATTTTTGGGGCCCTTTATACATGTAGCTTGCTGTTCGGTGTGAGCCAAGGCTCTGTGTTGAAGGTCGTACTTTGACCTATAATGGTTTACTTTTACAAATTGTGACTTGGATGGAGAGTTGTCTCATTGGCACTCATACCACATCTTCTTATATCTATATCCATTGTAAAGAATTAATGTGATGGGGTAAAACATGTTTGTGGATGCCCAACCCTCCCCTTATCTGCATATATCACATGTATCAAATATATATATATTGAATTATTTTTTAGGCCATAGAGAATGAAGCTGACAAATTGAGAGAAGCTTTTCATGCCAAATACAGTGGTGAGTAATTTTACCAAGTTAGATCAAAATGTCAAGATAACATGTCAAACATTCAGTTAGACAGTCTGTAAGAATAGCTTATGATATAATCATTGTCAGTTTTTTAAAAGCCATTCCCAACCAAACCAAAAGATCTCAGACCACTGGATACATTTAAGGAATAACAGTAACATGAGGTATTGTATTTGAATAGTTGCCACCCTATTGAGGATTTGACAGTGGTAACTCTTCAAATACTGTACAGTTATTCCTAATCCTATTCTAATGCAATATTCTCAAAGGAGCAATAGCTACATTTAGACAAAAGAATAAAAGAACGATTCTTTTTGTTTTAAAATATTAATAAAGGCAGAATTTTGAAATAATATTTCATTATTAGCAGTCAGTTTATACCTAGTTTGTTAAAATAAGCTCAAAATCAACTTATTTTCAAGTCGATAATTCAACCTGAATTGAATCTTTATTCATGTGACCTTTAATTGAACCCCTTAGCTAGAGATGGATTACGCATGTACTAGGTGTGCTTAGCAAATAAAAGGAAAAGAATGTCAACATTGAAAGTGAACCATTTCGTTGACATTTAATCCACAAAAGTAATTCTTATACAGGAAAATTATGATAATATATTTTTTAACCTATAACATGTATAACATAACAAGCAGACCTAGAAAAATCCAACTGCATGTTCCTGCTATCTATTTATATTTATGTTAAAATCAGGTTATATGACCTTCAGCAGTCTTCGAAGGTTATCTCGATAGTTAACTAGATGGCATCTAGACTAAAATGCACACGAAACGCTTTCATACATATTACTGAGTCCATGCATTGTTAATTGTTTACTTTAGACTTTTATTAATTTTGATAAATGTTTTAGTATGATAGTTTATAAATCAAATATGAGAATTTTAGTCAAATAATTGAACATGAATTTGACATGTACAGCTAATGCCCTTTAAAATGTACAAAATAAAACATTTGAAATATCCTTTAAAATGTCCACTGTGATTGCACAAAGTTGCTGCCAGTGACCCCAACCATTAACCATGGAATTGATGGCAGAAGTCATGTAATCAAAGTTGGCCTTACATGCTGTTTTGCAACTTTCTAGCAATTAATTTTCACAATGTTGAATAGGCGATCCTCAATATGTCAGTTGTTTCAAATTAGAAAAAAACAAATTACTAAGGAAAACAATTTACCTGTAAATACAAAGCCAATCATAGTGGAACCATCATGGTGAAATATGCAGGTTCTGATTACAATTTTGACTTTGTGAGTGCTTTACACATTTATTGTCGAGCCTTCGACTTTTGTTGAAAAAGCGAGACATAGCGATCCTACATTCCGGCGTCGTCGGCGGAGGCGTCCACAAATATTCACTCTGTGGTTAAAGTTTTTGAAATTTTAATAACTTTCTTAAACTATCCTGGATTTCTACCAAACTTGGACAGAAGCTTGTTTATGATCATACATTTTGTAAGATAGTATCCAGAAGTAAATTTTGTAAAAAAAAAATTCCTGTTTTTCCGTATTTTACTTATAAATGGACTTAGTTTTTCTGCCAGTTAACATTACATTCACTCTGTGGTTAAAGTTTTTAAAATTTTAATAACTTTCTCAAACTATCCTGGATTTCTACCAAACTTGGACAGAAGCTTGTTTATGATCATAAGATAGTATCCAGAAGTAAATTTTTAAAAAAAATCCTGTTTTTCCGTATTTTACTTATAAATGGACTTAGTTTTTCTGTCAGTTATTATTACATTCACTCTGTGGTTAAAGTTTTTCAAATTTTAATAACTTTCTTAAACTATCCTGGATTTGTACCAAACATGGACAGAAGTTTGTTTATGATCAAAAGCTAGTATCTAAAAGGAAATTTTTATTAAAATTTTGTACTTGTAATTGTTTATCCATATTTTACTTATAAATGGACTTAGTTTTTCTTCCAGTTAACATTACATACAGTCTGCAGTTAAATTTTCTAAAACATTTATTAGATTCATAAACTATCCTGGATTTTTACCAAACTTGGACAGAAGCTTCTTACAATAAAAAAATTATATCGAGAGGAATATTTTTATTAAATTTTTTCCTCATCTCATTTTTGTTGAGACTGCGATTAACAGCAAAAGTAGGCGAGACACTGGGTTCCGCAGAACCCTTACAAATTTTTAAATGTGAAATTGTGAATTCAAAAAACATGAAAAAGGATAATAAATGAAGTGGATGTAAGAAATTATAGGCCACCGTACAGCCATCAACAATGAGAAAAACCCATACTGTATAGTTGTCTATTAAAGGCCCTGACATGAAAAGTGTGAAACAATTCAAACGAGAAAACTAATGGCCTAATTTATAACGAAACAGTTTAAGAAAAACATCTTGGTGACAAATCTCGAACCAAAGACAATCACTGAACTACAGGCTCCTGAATTGGGAAAGGCACATACAGAATATGGCAGGGTTAAACATGTATGTGAGTGCTCAACACTCTGTTTAACCTGAGACAGTGGTGTAACAGCATAACAGTATTTTCTTTATCTTATTCAATTGATCAGTCATTCTTTTGTTGTAGTGTCAGATTTTGTGGAGAAGAAGTTGTATGACCAAAGAGATATTGACAATATAAAAAGTAATGATTTGTATGTGCAACAATTCATAAGGAAAACAGAGCCTTTATCTGAGGCAGCAGACAGATTACATGAAGCATTGAAATGGAGGAGAGAATGTGGGATCAGAGGTAATGTTAATTGTTGATGAATTCCAAATCATATCATCATACATCTTGCTTATCAACATAATACATTTACCAGCCATACCACTAAAAAAACCTACAAGGATCTCTGATATGATGTATGATTGCCAATTAGACAATTATTCACTAGAATTAGTAATTAATGATCTCCATAACTCATTCAACAATGAGCTGAACCCATACATCATAGAAAGCTATAAAAGGCCCTAACAACAAAACGTGCAAAATGTAAAACAATTCCAAAGAATTTTTTTTTTTAGAAGTTTATTTTTCTTTGAGATTTTTTTTAGATTAATTTTTCTATGATGAAAGTTCAAAATATATCCTTGAAAGTAGTAAAATCAACCAAATTATAATCATCTGTGTTGCGAAACAAACGATAATAAATCAAGAACGTACAAAACACTTTGTATTTTCAAAGTTTTCCAACACAATGAGAATCAACTAAAGTGTAGAAATAGAAATCTGATTGAGATTCAAGATCAATATTTCTTGTTTAAAGTCGTAATCATTGTCGGGAAAATTGTTTAAATCCATAATGAACGTATAGAAATATTTATATTGTATTTTTATTTGCTGACAAGGTTGGATGAATGATTATTGGTTGCTTATTTTAACATGGCTTCAGCACAAAAAGACTATACTGTGACAAATTTTGCTTAACAGGAGAATCATTCCAATATTGATCATGTTTTTTAGAACATTCCTTGCTATCAAATAACACTATGACATCCTCTAGTATTTACAAACCATTTTAAAAAATAAAAGTATTTGACATTTAGATGAATGGTTTTTATACGACCGCAAAAAATTTTTTGGGATCGTATAATGGTATGATGTCGTCGTCTGCGTCATCGTCCGAAGACACATTGGTTTCCGGACAATAACTTTAGTTTAAGTGAATGGATCTCTACGAAATTTTTTAAGAAGGTTCAATACCACAAAAGGAAGGTTGGGATTGATTTTAGGGATGATGGTCACAACCATTTAGGAATTAGGGGCCCAAAACAAGCATTTTTCTAGTTTCAGGATAACAACTTTTGTATAAGTATTTCCATTGCTCTGAAATTGTACGGCAATGTTTAATATCACAAGTAGAAGGTTGGGATTTATTTAAGGGGTTATGGGGCCAACAGTTTAGGAATTAAGGGCCAAAAAGGGGCCAAAAACAAGCATTTTTCTAGTTTCCAGACAATTACTTGTGTGTAAGTGTATGGATCTCTCATGACATTGTACTATAAGGTTCCATATCACAAAGGGAAGGCTAGGATTGAGTTTGGGGTTAATTGCCCAAATATGTAGGAATTAGGGGCCAAAAAAGGGCCAAAAACAAGCATTTTTCTAGTTTCCAGACAATAACTTGTGTTTAAGTGTATGGATCTCTCTGAAATTGTACTACAAGGTTCCATACTACAAAGGAAAGGCTGGGATCGAGTTTTGGGGTTATTGCTCCAAGGGGGGTTTCAAAAAGTTGGGGGGGGGGGGGAGGGATTTTTTTTCCCAATTTTTTAGAGAATTCATTTTTTTTTTCAAAATTTTTCAAATTTTGAATTTTTGAAAAGTTTCAAGAAGAAATCTTCAATTGCACAGTATTGCGCAATAGATTTGTAAGATCATTGACCACATTTATTTTGTGTCAGAAATCTATATTATGTCAAAAATTTGATCATTATCCAAATTCAGACAGTATCAAGCTTGAATATTGTGTCCAAATTTGTACCAACTGTTCAGGGTTCGACCTCTGTGGTGGTATCAGGCTGCGCTCAGCGAAGCATTTTATTTTTTATAATATACATCTCCTTACTCCTACTTTATCATGTTCATTTTCTATTTATTTACTTTATTTACAACATTATTATATCAGTTTTATATGTATTTATAAATGTTGTGCATGTGTTTCAAATTCATGAAAGAAGTTTCTTGCATCATTTTACTATAGAAAATAGTTATTTTTTAGATGCCACAGAAGAATCATTTCCTCGATGGGCTTTAGAGAGAGGTGCAATATATTTTCATAATGTAGATAAAGATGGTAAAAAGTTGTGTAAGTGTTGAATGTTTATATGTTACCAAACTAAACTGTCTTTAATTATTCAAAAAAGTGTAGAGATAGGAAACTGTCATTCTTCCCACAAATCAGATTTAAAACTGTGTTCTATTTTTATACCATATTTTCTAAGCATTGCTTAAGATGAAAAGTGTTATATTATTTATAAAAGAAAATTGCCTGATTATAAACTTTGTTGACATTCTCTTGACTTTTTAAAAACAATATGCTTTATTTTTTATATTGATTACAAAAAAGGGAACAACAAGTTTTAAATATTACGAGAACTGAAAATGCTTTTGATATTTGAAGTGGTGAATGTTTTGTCTTTGCTTTATTGTGCATTTAAGAAACAAATTACTAATGGGGTAAAAAACTTTAACTTCATGCATTAATGGCTTTTGTTTTCTATTTCTGTAACTTCATCAGAACAGTTTATCAATACTAAAAAAAATATAGGATAGATATTTTCATAAATTTTCCTAAAATTAGATTTTTTTGCATTTTACATTCAATTCAACATTGAACTTGATGAATAGATCACTGAACATATACATATTTCTTTTAGAAGCACTGTATCCCTAATTAAATATCTTATATAGATTATATAGGAAAATATCCTTCTATGGTACATAAAATGAAAACTTGTAAATTAAATCAATATTATCTTTGCTAGGTGGAGGTTTTTGAGATCAATTTCTTTCAAGAAATAAAAATTATAATTGTTTTATAAGTTCTTGTTTCTTTAATATTTTACAAAGCAATGTAAAGACCGGTTGATATGTCGTATATCAACTTAGATTTTTTTGTTTAATCTCCATGCTTGCAAACTTTAAAAAAAACATGTAATCAATTAAGATAATAATATCCAAAACAGCATATCAAAATTGCTTATTTGGACTCTGTGTTTAACAGTGTCTGTCTTCTTAATGACAAAAGTCTCATTTTAGTGATTCTTGTGTCTTTTAGTATTTGTGAGAGTGAAAGAACATAAGAAAGATGCCAGCGTTTTACCAGAAGTTAAGAGGTTCTTTGCCTACCACCTAGAGACACAATATAATGAAGATCCCCATTCACAGATCACTCTTGTGTTTGATATGGCTGATGCAGGATTATCTAATTTAGTAAGTATTACTTCAAAAATGATGAACATGAAATGTGTAGTGCATTTAGCATGTTTAGTGTGATTCAATATTTCTCAATTTCAGGCAGTTACCTTTTCAAATTTAAAATCTTGATGTCCAGGAGACTGAGAGCGAAGAAATATCTTATTGCACAAGATAAATTGATGAATTCTGTTTTAATCTTTAACGATCTGTTAATATTATATGCATGCATGGTATAATCATATGTGTTCCTGGAAAAGGTTGCATCTTATATTACACGTATTATAAAACAGAACTTTTTTGAAAATCCTTTTACAGCTTTTCTATGAAAGCATGCAAAGCAAACCTTTGATCAACTTGCTTGCTATGTTTGTTTGGATGTTTGTAAACAACAGGTAGGTAGTCTATTTCAGTCTGTTTACTATATACTGGAATTTGATTAGACAATAAACATTAACTGTTAAGTTTGACATTGTATGTCAATTTTTATTGTCCAATCAAATACCAGTATATATTAAACAGACTGAAACTCCGCCTACCCTTTTGTTTACAAACATCCAAGCAAATATAGCAAGCAAGTCGATAAAAGGTTTGTATTGCATGCTTTTATAGAAAAGCTGTAATTTTCTACTAAAATTCCTCAGATCACCAACATTTTTCACAGTAACTGCATAGAATCATATATATTTTAATGTTTGACTTATTATCCTAATTTGTTGTTTCTTTCAGGATATGGACCTGATTAAGTTTGTTATTACATCTTTCAAGGTTTATTATCCATCGCTTTTAAGTAAGTAAACAATTACTTCAAAGTTTAGTTTAATCCAAATGATTTTTAGATATCACACAAGTAAACAAAGATGTCCTTTAGGCTAGACATCAGTTAGACAGCAATACAACAACTATTGACTCATTGATTGGTGTTTAATGCCACTTTTAACACTATTGTGCTATTTTGGGGTGGTCAGTTTTTATTGGTGGAGGAAGCTGGAGTGCCAGGAGAGAACCACTGACCTTAGGTAGGAACACTGACAATCCTAGTCAATTAAGATTGGAGTCGAGTGCACCTGCCCAGTGCGGGATTCAAATACAACATCTAATGATAATAGTTATGATAATATATTCTTTATTGAAAGCAGGTTAACACTGTTAGTTACACTAACTTATATTCCCTGAGGCCCTCAGACATGAGCAGTGATAGCTGTAGAAGGGCAATACAACCCCTATTAAACTTCTCCAGATGAGCATGCAGTCTTCAAAATCAGAGTAGTGGCTTCATATTTGGTCAGCAGTTGAAATTATCGGTCAGATACCACTTCTTATTTTCCCTCTACTTTGAATTTCTGAAGAGAGTTGCGAAGGATATCAAAGAGACATTCAAACTCATAAGTCCAAAATAAATGACTACGCCATGGCTAAAAAAGAAAAACACAAACAGACAAACAACAGTAAACAAAACATAGAAAACCAAAGACTGAGCAACACGAAAGCCATGAAAAACTGGGGGTGATCTCTGGTGCTCTGGAAGGGTAAGCAGATGTTGAATGAAAACATATTTGCGGCACACACTTTTCATGAACTACTGAACAGAATTACAATATTTGGTTTCACAACTTGACAGGGAAGAGTTTTTAGTTATTTGCCCTTTTCTGATTTTGCAGACACCTACAAAATGAATCTGATACTTTTCATGTTTTGATATGTCCAATAGAAACAAATTTTTGTCTCACTTACTTTCTGTAACATATGACCAGACTTCCTAGTTGGTCAACAACTTAACATTTATGAGTTGAAACTTGTGAATGCTTTTTCGAATCTGCAAAGACACTTCTTTCCTGTTTTCAGATACATTGAATTATGAGTGGAGTATGCTTTATAGCATGATAACACATGTATGCAACTTCTTGTTTGGTTTGACATAATATTTTACATACATTTGTTAATATCTTTTACCTTTGACTTCATTTCCTTACGAGGACTTTAAATACCTAGCATGCCTAGGGTAAACTTTTTCATATAAAACAGATTTTTCTCAATAGCTAATGAAACTGAAACAGATATTCATATTGCTATGGAAACTCAATCCAAGTATTAAATTCATCTCTTTGGCCTACTACAAGCATTCTTTGTATTGATATATATTTAAAATGTTGTTTTTTTTCAGATGTCATGTTAATTTATGAAATGCCTTGGTTGTTTAATGGTAAGTAGATTGAAAGTGAACAATGCTGTGTTAGATAAACTATTGAAATGACCCATTTTAGATTCAGTCACTTGAAGAATAAGGGCCTTATGCTTCACAATAATCTTAATCAACAAAATATATGTGGTTTTATCTATAGTTTGTCCTTTATTGTTTTAATACAAAAGTAAGATGTGGGAATTGAATACTTTTGAAAATTGGGATGTAATTTACTGATATTTTGTTATACATTTAGTACATTTGTACTAGAAATCAAATCTTGCAAAAGAAGGTTCCATATAAATGCAAAACATACCATGCAAAGTATTCAGATTACCGTAAAGAGGGAAATTTTTATCGAGGGGTTTATTTTTTGCTAATTTGGCGATTAAGATAATATACTGTAAATAAGCTTTCATGTAAATACATGTCAAACACAAGAAAAATGCAAAAATAAAACATCACAAATGGGTTTGGCCCTCCAAGTCGTGCAATTAAACTCTGCCAAAAAAAACCCCACTAAGCGTTACTTCATATGTAATCATTCTTTTGTAGCTGCTTGGAAAATTATAAAGACATGGTTAAGTGCTGAGGCTGTCAAGAAGATTAAATTTATAACCAGAAGTGATGCACAAGCATATATTAACAAAGATCAACTTTTAGAACACATGGGTGGAACAGTTGAGTTTTATTTAACATATATATTTTAGCAAATTTAGATCTTTAACCATGAATTAGTCTTAATGCCTATTGATTTACCGTTTTCTGTCAGTATATAAGTCAAAGTTATATAAGCTTGAACTTTGCTTTCAGGTTGATTTTTCAGAACATAAGATAATGTATCAATAATTCAATAATATCAATAATTTTTATCAATGCAATTCTTTTTGGGTAATGTTAGCCTATATCATACATAGGAGGGGGGCTATAGTTAAGTATTACACTCAGGATGATTTCTCAGAATGCTGTGTATTAATAAACATGGTAACATATATGGGCAATAATTTGGTATTGGGACCGTTTCCGATAACGATAGAAAAGTGATAAAATATTGTATTTTGTTGAGAGAAGTTGTTGCTCCACCATCAAATGCTATTATTTCTATTACAATATAGGTGCTTTCTAATCTCCCCTAGAGAGAACTTGAAATAAACAAATATTTAAGATTATTCGGCCACTTTTGTATGTCGTTTCTTAGCGTTATTTTCGCTTCCGAAGTGCGTAACGCTGCCCGATTTAAAGATAATCGTCGCCTGAAAAATCGTAACTTTTGCTTTCAAATAATAAAGAACATCGATCAAAAAGAATAGTCAGAAGAAATTGCCGAGAACTATAACTGTTTTTGTAGCAGGTGTAAGAAAAGTAGCGTTTAGATGGTGTAGTCTGCTTTATTGTAAATGAATTCTTCATAACAATATGCAAATATGAACTCTGGCGAGATGTTCAAACAGGTAAATCAGTGATTATTTACAATCTAGTTTTGTTCTTCGCAATATATAAGTTAGAAAATGACCTTATCGTTATGCGTTACATTTCACGAAACAGAAGACCAGTTATTTACTTTTTATTTATTAAAATTGTTTTTGTCGTTTGGTCCTTATCATTTCCGGTCATATTCGAAACATGTGGCAAACATGTGATTAAGCGCTTACGGCCGGGTATATGAAATATTAGGTCTAAACATCGTTTTTGTTTCCAACGGGATAGTAGCAAGCACATTCTGTAGACTGTTTTCATATTGTTTAAAAAAGGAAAATACAATTTTCAAAGAGATCGCGACGGGGGTCTATCATCTTTCCTACGTGCATAATGTTACATACTATCTTGAGTGAAAATAAATGCCCAATTACTTGGCAAAATCGATTTCTTATTCGAGGGACGTTACAACACACTTTGTTTCCGGATAACGATGAAAAGATTCCTTGGAGAATTCATTCAACATTACGTCTCTTATCATTCTGCCGATGCTCGTTGAATTCATTTTGCTTTAGCAGTAAATTGTACTTGATATTTTAGATAAATGAAGATAATTTAAAAAAAAATACATGTTGATATACCGTTACACTTGGAATGTACAGAGTTGGTATCTTTGTCACAATTTATTTTTTTTTAATTTTAATAATATTCAGCAAACACTTTTCAAAAATGCAATAATATTGTCAAAGGAGAAGTAAACTTTGACCATGCATGACTTAAAAGGAAGTACTTTATCGATTTTAGCCCACTAAAGAAGGTTAACATGTGGAAACCATGTAGATGGTGTACAGGTCACAAATATCACATGATGCCTACTATAAGATTTTAGTTCCAAGTTAAAAGTTTTTTACTTTACTGGATTAATAGGAATTTGACATTGGAATTAATTGTATAAAACTGGAATTTCAAAACCAATAATTACATTTTTTTGGCTAAAACATCAAGATACAACGATTATGGTATCCTGTATCAATTAAGAAAATGTGGAAATTTCTGAATAAATTGCACTATTTTTTTTCAAAACAAACACATATTTAGGAGTTTTATAGTAATACTATTACATTTAAGACAGATTTTAACCAGAGATGCAAATCTAAATGCATAAGTATGCTAGTAGTAAATCAATACATGGAAACTGCCAATGTTGTATCCAGTTCATTTGTATGCGTCACAATTTCATAGCTTTTCAAAAGTGTTATTTCCCTTCAGGTAAGTAGTGCCGGTTCACTGCCTGCATGGCCAATATATCAAAACACTTTTCTTTTCAACTTAAAAGTAACATTTTGCTTTGAAAATATGTTCACCTATATCAAATTTGCCATGATAAAACATTGCATGAAATAACATCATGAACATGTCACTTTAATGTTGACATGTAAAATAACATTTTACAGTTGCCCTTGCTGAAAGGAACTAGGGTTCTGTTTAATCTAAGGTCTTGTGACTTTGAAGATCGGTCATAATTTGTATTGAATGATAAGAAGTTACAATCAAACTTGTGCCCTTTAGAGAAACGAGCCCAATAACAACTTAACAGAATTTTTTTTAATCAGATTTATATTGGTCACAAATTTTGGAAAGAAATTGAGTGAAATATTCTTTTTGGTATATCAGGGTTTTGGTTATATTTCTGTAATCCATGGTACTTAATTGTAATTTTCCAGCAGTTGTAATGAATGGGTGTGAACAATTATAGGATTTCATTGAATTTCTATACGCCCGCAAAATAATGTTTTGTATATGAAATCTTGTCTATATAAAAAAGAAGATGTGGTATGATTGCCAATTAGACAACTCTCCACAAGAGACCAAATGACACAGAAATATACAGCTGAGCTATAGGTTACCGTACGGCCTTCAACAATGAGCAAAGTCCATACCACATAGTCAGCTATAAAAGGTCCTGAAATCACAAATGTGAAACAATTTAAACTTTTATTGGATATAAGAAGATGTGGTATGAGTGCCAATGAGACAACTCTCCATCTAAGTCAAAATTTATTAAAGTAAACCAATATAGGTCAAAGTACGGTCTTCAACACAGAGCCTTGGCTCACACCGAACAGCAAGCTATAAAGGGCCCCAAAAATTACTAGTATTAAACCATTCAAACGGGAAAACCAAGTCTAATCTATATAAAAACATGCAATTTTACAAAAAGCAAGGGACAGGGTGGATGTTACAAGATACTACTTATACTGTGGATGTTTGTTGGATCACGCTTTTTGTTTTGTGTTCAATAAAATTTAGAAATTTAAAATGTCCTGCATCTTTCCAATTGAATCAAAAGTGAGAGCTGAGAAAGTGCCTCCCAACACCCCCATACATTCAGTTCTGGAACAGCCCTTTATAGAAAAGTACATTATATAAGATAAGTAGCACTAGCTAGATCTCCCAGTTTATACAGTGCTTGAATTTTCTGGTTAGTGACGCATACGCACAAAGTGTAAACAATACAATTGTGTTACAGAGCTAGCTAGCACACTGCATTGGGTTTCTAAGGGTTAGTAGGCACATGTGCTACATATAAAAGTGTATAAGAATTATTACAAAAAGCAAGAGAAAATACATTGGTAGTCAAAATCAGTTGGCGCCCAAAAAATAATTTATTTTAGTGACACCCTTGTTTCTATATTCTCATAGTTTTTATTGTCTACTGGAAAAAAATTATCAAAAACAGTCCTAAATTTAAAAACCAAAGTTATAAGTAACATTATCAAGAAAAAGTTTACTGTTCAGATTATTTTAAGCTGATTTTCCAATAAAATAAAACTAAAAAAAATGCTTTCGGTTTCTTATGGTTTCCTGTCGCATTTAAAAAAAACCTTAATTTAACATTGAAAATAGATTTTAAATATTAACATGAAGCAAGTAACACTACTAATTGTGTTCATTTATGTCTTTTGAAATAAATTGTGCAAAATAAAGAAAATAAAGTTTTGTTTCCTGTTTGGTTTCCTGTCACGAAAACGGTGAATCACAATGGATTAATTTTTGCTGGAAAAACCCACTTGTTCCATTAATACTATTCTCACACCAACACAACCCACAGAATAAAAGTTAAAGTTTTAGAACTTAAAAAAAAAGATACAAAAAGAAACCAAAGGCCGAATACCAAATTATTGCCCATATGTGATATATCATTTTAGTTTAGAAACAGTTTGATCACTATGACCTACTTTCACGCTTAAGTGGGTACAGTTTTGCATTTAGTTTGTCATTGATTTCTTACCAGCATTCATTCCTTTTTTGCTTTGCATTATTTAATAAAACATAGAGTAAAGACATATAGATAACGGTATTGGTAAAGAAAAAGACTTGTTACTTTTGCATGGAATGGGGGCTTTATATCAGGGAAAAGTACTATTGTTACTATTTTATGTACTTAAGTTAAGTTCTAGTATTAACAAGTACTGGTTAATCCTTTTTGAATAATACAAATAATTTACTTTTTTAGGATAAATTCCAATTCCGTTATTTATCTCCAGAGGAAAGATTAGAGGAAGAAAATAAGGCGAATAGAAAGAAGGTAATACTCACAGGACTTAAAAAGAGATTTGATATAAATAAGAAGATGTGGTATGAGTGCCAATGACACAACTCTCCATCCAAGTCACTATGTATAAAAAGTTAACAATTATAGGTCAAAGTAGGGCCTTCAACACGGAGCCTTGGCATTTTTGTTAATCTATACATAAACTATGCAAAAAAAATACTCTCCAAAAATAATAGCCAAAAGGTCTTCATGACACATGTACAGAAAAAATTACTAAAAAACCGTAGTGATCAGTATTAGAATATACAGTCAGAGCTCTGACATAAACAAGTCAGAATAAAATGACTTCTTCAAGTCAGAAAGTGTTTTGAAATTCTGACCTGTACGCGTCAATTTTTGTTTTGCGTAGTTTTCACTCGAGTCCGTCAAACCCGAAGTTATTTTGAATTTGCCGCCGATCTACGACACATACGATCACGTGGTTTTTTGCAAGAGATCACGTGTTTGAGAGTCGTTGTTTTGGAAGTGTCTCGAACGAGAAGTCATTGAATATTGTATTGATTATTTACGATTTTTAGTGAAAATCTAGGTCATTGTGGGCATTTTTAGAAAGATAATTCATATTACCTCCGTATTTTCATGGGCATTTTTATATTTTTTGCCTATAAAGAAGTTCCTTGCAAGTAATTTTTTTGCTGTTTCATGAAGGCGCGCGACCTGTAAATACGGACGCGTGGTCTTTGAGATGACCTGGTGTTTGACAGTTCTGACTTGTTCAGGTCAGAAAATGTTGTTATGATAATGAATTGTTATTTTCGGGAGATAACTCGTGTTGTCTTAAACAATATTAACATTATTAACCAGTCAGTGCAATTTAAAAAGTAAAATTATTGCTTCGAGCTGAACATCGTCACGTGATTTTTCTATTTTTAAACTCAATCACGAATTGATTTTTTAACCTTTCTGATACGTTTCTCCCAATGAGAAAAACGATCATTGTGAATATTGATATGCTGATAATGAAATGAAAATGGGAAAAATTTTAATAAAAGAAAAAGGAAGGGAGAGGTTTAACTAAAGAACCCAAGGTTTTTTTTTTATTTTTAAAGTTATAACTTGAGAACAATACGTGATGCACACACCTGGTCTTCATTTATGATCATGGGATATGATAAAACAAATCAAATGAAATGTAGGGCAAGTCTCCAGGGATCACCCCTATCCCTGTCATTTCTCTATTCCTCTTTATAATGTCAAATTGATTTGAATGAAATATACCGGGCTAGTCTCCAGGTTTACCCCCACCCCCTGCCATTTGCAAATGTTCTTATATTTTGTAAACGGTAGAGATCCCCACCCCTAAACCATATATATTCTTGTATGGGACAATTTAACAAATCAAATGATATGTTGGGGAGGTCCCTGGGGGTCACCCCTACCCCTCCTGTTTGAAAACTTGTAAACGGTCGAGATCCCCACCCCTAAACCATATATATTCTTGAATAGGACAAAAAAACAAATCAAATGAAATATAGGGGAAGTCCCTTGGGGTCACCCCCACCCCCTCCTGTGTGAAAACTTGTAAACGGCCGGGATCCCCACCCCTTAACCATATATATACTTGTAAGGATCAATAAGACAAATCAAATGAAATAAAGGTGAAGTCCCTGAGGGTCACCCCACCCCCTCATGTTTGAAAACTTGTAAACGGTCAAGATCCCCACCCCTAAACCATATACATTCTTGCACAGGACAATAAAACAAATCAAATGAAATATAGGGGAAGTCCATTGGGGTCATCCCCATCCCCCTTTTTGAACTGTTCTGGATCACCACCCCTAAAGGTAAACCATATGATATTCCTGTTCGTCATTTCAAGAAGATTTGAATTACATGCAGGGTCAAACCCTAGGCGTCACTTATGCATATCACTTTACTGAGGGGCCTGATGGGTTATTTTCGTTCTTCGTGATCGGCGCATTTTCGCTATCGTGATCCGTTTTTTTACATTTTTTTTTTTTATATATTTTCTTGATCCGTGATCATGGAAATTTATTTTCTATGAATCGTGATTGACAAAAAAATCAACTCGTGAATCTCTCTGAAATTACACATCTATAATTCTTACCCCAGATGCTTAGCCACATGAAGCATTTACCTCTTATTTGAGACATAGAATAGTCTTTGTTTCTATAGAAGTGAGAAGAACATTGGAAGTCAGAATGTTCTGACTTATAAAAGTCTGAATGTTCTGACTTAATAAGGTCAGAAAGACTCAGAATGATCTGAAAATACTGACTTTTTTTAATGTTTAGAGTATTTTAGAATATGAATGCACTTGTCATGCTAGTACCATAAGAAACCCTGACAAGATTTTTTTCCCAAACAACAATTTTTAAAGATATTAAGAATAATAAGTGTACAATGGAACATAAATTACAAAGTTATAAGTGTTGTGAAAAAAGCTATTTAAAAAAAGTCAATAGATAGTTATCTTTCAACTTTTACATGTATTTACAAAACAGTGAAAATATTATGGATCATATGTATGGCTTCTTGAAGGACAACAGTCACCATATTTGGTCTGAATTTGTATGTTTTTTCTCCTCAAATTTTTTTTAACATTAATAATGTCGGCTTTTCTCTTAACTAATTTTAAACATTCTTAATTATAATTAAATTTCCCCATGTTCACAGATTCAATGTGTCTGAAAATGTTATATTGAAAAAACAATACTTTTATATCCTCAAATAAAATGGGCATACCATGAGTTTGATGGTCATGCAGATATGCAATCCAGGATGTTAACAATCAGAGTTTAGATTACAGTCATATAGTAATAGGCAGAGTTTTTCTTATATAATCAATAACCAGAGTAAAGATAATTGATTAATAGAGGTTTAGTTTAATATACGTAATAAACAAAGCTAATTAATACACTTGCAATCACATACATGTAGTTAAATAAGTAAATACAGAATATTCATACAAAATTCAGACAGAAATACTGTAATAGGTCAAGTCATTAGGGACGACATCAAAAGTTCAATGTAGGATAAAAAACTTAATTCACATCACATAGTTTTTTCACTGACCCATCCACCCCCCTCTTAACTTAATTTGGGAAAAATTGATTGACCAATATGGATTTATGTGAAATCGATTTTGGATAAACAAAACTTGCAGCAATTTTAACCCCACCCCCCACCCCCAAACTATTTGATTTAAGTTTTTTTATCCTACATTGGTCTTTTGATGTCGTCCCTTAGAATGTGCTGACTTTGTACATGTTGTAGTGATAGTTATGGCACCCATACAACATATAGGAATCAGTCAAAAGGAGAGAAAAATTCCCGAAATTTGTCACATAGTGACATTTGTGAGTCGGAATAACAAAATATAGACTCATTAATCTCTCCATCTTTTCAAAAATTATGAACCAGATTTTATGCATATCCATTTAGTTTTTGACGGACTCTTTTAAGTCAGAACATGATTTGACCTGTTTGAGTCAGTTTGCAGAACAAAATTTCCAATCAAAGCTATGTGTTCTTCCTCTTAGCCCCCTTCTGAATCTGCCACTGTTGAGTTTATTAATTGAATTTTCCATACATTATCATTAATATCAAATGGCAATGCCTGACTTAATAATTTCAATAAATTTAGTTTTTGACAGATTTTTTAAAGTCAGAACATGACTTGACCTGTTTAAGTCAATTTGCAGAACAAAATTTCCAATCAAAGCTAGGTGTACTTCCTTTAAGCCCTGCTTCTGAATCTGCCATTTTTGAGTTTATTGTTTGATAAATTTGTAGAAACAATTAAGTCAAATGGTTATTTATTTTAGGGGATCTTACATATATTTCCTGAGTCTTTTATCTGACGTTCCCATACATTCATTAAATAACATATGGTAATGCCCAGCTTAAATATTTCAATAAATTTATTTTAGTTTTGGACTGACTCTTTTAAGTCAGAACATGATTTGACCTGTTTAAAACAAAATATATTTAATATTGAATATACCAAATAAACTTTTTTATAGTCCTCATTATTGTGACTTATGGGGACTTTATTTCCTCTGTCTTTTATCTGGCTCACCCATACATTTTTAAATCAATATGACAATACTAGACTTAAAAGTTGTAATAAGTTTAGTTTTGTTTGACTCTTTGAAGTCAGAACATGATTTGACCTGGTAAAGTCAGTTTACAGAACAAAATTTCCAATCAAAGCTAGGTGTACTTCCTTTAAATCCTGCTTCTGAATCTGCCATTTTTGAGTTTATTATTTGATAAATTTTTAGAAACAATTAAGTCAAATGGTTATTTATTTTAGGTGATCTTACATATATTTCCTGTGTCTTTTATCTGACGTTCCCATACATTCATTAAATAACATATGGCAATGCCCAGCTTAAATATTTCAATAAATTTATTTTAGTTTTGGACTGACTCTTTTAAGTCAGAACATGATTTGACCTGTTAAACAAAATACATTTAATATTGAATATACCAAATAAACTTTTTTATAGTCCTCATTATTGTGACTTATGGCGACCTTATTTCCTCAGTCTTTTATCTGGCTTACCTATATATTTTTAAATCAATATGACAATACTAGACTTAAAAGTTGTAATAAGTTAAGTTTTGTTTGACTCTTTGAAGTCAGAACATGATTTGACCTGTTAAAGTCAGTTTACAGAACAAAATTTCCAAGCAAAACTGGTCTTTTCCTCTAAGCTCTAAGCCCCCCCCCCCCCTAATTTTAATCTGCTACTGTTGAGTTAATTAATTGATAAGTTTGTTTAGAAACAATTCAGTCAAATGGTTTTTAAAATAATATTTTTTATAACCAAAAGTTCCATATGTTAACTTAACAGAAAAAAATGTCATGAAAATGCAGAAATAGAATAAAATTTTAAGATAATTTGATGAAATTTGTAAACAAAATACATTTGAATATTAAATATACCAAATAAACTTTTTTATAGTCCTCATTATTGTGACTTTATTATTGGGTGTCTTTTATC